CCATTGAGCTTCAGGGAACACACCCCGAGTATTGTATTTCCACACATTGAAAAATGCAAAAGAATACGCATTTAACAACCCTATATATGGTACATACTCTTTCCGTGATTGCAAATAAGTGTAAATTAGTAATACATTATTTTCATATTAATTGTTATTCAACTGTATAGAAATACTTACCTTCATTTCATTGGGTTTACTCTATAACAGAATAATCACATATCTGATTAAGTAGTCAACAAAACCACTTAGAAGAACTGATTCTATTCTTTACCTTTATTTTTCACTAAGTTACGAACTTGTGATTCTCTTTAGTAGTAAGCTAAATTTGTGTTCTGCTATGTGAAAAGAATGCTCATTCAGTTGTGACCCTTAAGAAAGAAGAAAGTTCTCACTTCAGTGAAGATAACAAAATTTCACGTTACATAGTATGAACCTAAACAGTATTGCCCTTCAAAACTAAAAACAAATTTTTAAGATTATGCTTATTAATGCTGTTGAAACCCTCTGACATTTATTTTGAAACACCAGATCTTTATTTTTTCCTAACAGGATTATAATTTCTTTTCATCCCCTTTGTATATCTCTTAATTAGCTAAATGGCATTTGGATGCTTATGTTGATGGAACAAGGCATGGTTGTTAATGATAACCTACAGTACTTATAAAATTATGAATTCAGTTATTACGGTTAATAGTACTATTGTTAGTACTAGTAGTACTGGTAGCACTTTAGTGTTAATAGTACTGTTGTTATTATAATAACTGCTCACATTGACTAAAGTGCAAGTCATGTGTCTAAATACTTTGTGTGAATTTATTCAATGCTTGCAACAAGTCATCCTTGATAAATTGTATCATTTTGTGTTTTTTGCTAGTTTCTGAAGTCCTGGAATTGCTTACATTTAGCACTGAGTCATCAAAGGAAGCGATAGGTAATAATGTTCCCCAATGGGAAGTCAGATATATGTGCTTTTCCATCACATTGCGGAAGTCATCTTGGGATGTCCTCACGCTTCATAACGTTTCATGGCTTCTCACATCTTGCCTGTGCTCATCCAGTGAATCTTGACAGTTAAATGTTATCTATAGCACACTGTGCAAGTGCCCGCTATGTCGCCTTGCAAGTTTCACAATCTCCTCACCTAGTTCCCTCTGACTCTGAATGCAAAAGTTCATTTTTTAATATTCTGAGCACTCTTTTAATGCAAATATGCACATCCTATTTTTCATGTTCATTTTAGGATTCATCCTCTTGCTTTCAAAGAACCCACTCTATGTCTTTTTCTCACTGGAATCCTTAAACAAAAATATGTAAGGAGATGAAGTTATCTGCTTTGCTCCAGGTGGAAACTGCTGTAGATCCTGCTAGTTCGTGTGTGCGTTGGTATGTGCGTTCCACACTGCACACTGCCTTCGTTTCTGCCCTCTTAAATTGTAGTCATCTTCATATTCTCCCTAAATGTTATTTATTCTCACAAACCTATTTAGGATAGATTATCTAATTAGGATAATTAACCTCTGTTTTCAAATTAAACAGTGTTCCATGGCAGTGGGTACTATGGGCTGCCCACTGCTAACCCACCATTTGGTTTCTTCTCTAGCACCAACTGAAATAGTAATTATGTCTATTCCACCACCAAAGCACCACTCAGGCCAGAGGAGCCAGAGACAGAAGGTGGTAAAGGTTTTCATGCTTTGATTCTTTTATTCAAAATATTTTAATCAGTATCTATTACTTTTCATAGAAAATGAAAGTCCAAGCTGGGGTACTTGTTCTGCAGTTCACTAGCTTTGAAGAGCCATAGCTTCTAAAATCCTTGAATTCCTAAAATTAAAATGATAATTGACTCTCTGAATACAGAAATAAATTTCAGTTTCTCTGTGGTGTCTATGTATTGAAGCATAATAACACTTGACAGTTAATGACAGTTAAAACATAAATCTTAGTTGGAGGTTTAGGGTTATAGAATAGGACATCCCTCTCAGATTTTTTTTCTTATCCTAGCCCGTTGTCCTATCTGTAAAAATGTGATGCAGATTCCCAAGAGACTGAGGTTGATATTCAAGAAAGAAATACTTGACTGCAGCTTACCATCTTACAGTTTTTAAAATTGTTCTCCTTTGTTTTGATACAGTTGTGGAATCTATTACACATGTGTCTGAACCACCTGAGACCACGCTAGGTAATGATACACCCCGGCAGCTTTTGTCCTCACTGTCACCATCACCAGAAAACCCAGGTTCTCCTTCATTGTGAATCCATGTTGCAACATCATTCTTCCTCATCACAGTTAATTTTCTTTCTAGATGCTTCTCTTCATAACCATTGTCCCCAAAAGTGTCTTCTCTCATTGAGCTTTGTATCTAGATCTTGGCCTCTCGCTATTTCAGTCACCGAAACTGTCAAATCTAAAGCATCTTTTTCCTAAGGTTGAACATTCTGCCAATTTGGTATTATGTTGAATATTTCAGATAACATATTTTTGTACGATGATCCACTTATACCTTCTGACCTAGCAACACACTTCATTAGCAGTCATTTATTTCATCACATTGATTTACTTGTTTGGTTTTTTCCTTTGTTAAACAAAATCCCATGCTGCTAATGGCTTATGCTTTCATAGTTTTTATTAGTTTGTTTTATGGTTATTCTTGAACATATCTTTCTAGCATCACTGGGGGAGGTACTAGTGTGGAGTGATGATTTAAAAAGTAAGGATATTGCTTACCTTGAAAGTACTTTATAACCTGGCATCTCTAAGCAGTTTTCAAACTAAATACATTATTAAGAAGTAAGAGCAGCATTTACCGCAATTTTCTTTTTTTCTGTAAAATCTACTTGTCACCGTCCTTTCTGTATTAAAGGTGCATGAAGCACTGTAGTAACCCTTAGTGCGTTCCTTCAATCACTGTAGAAACATCACCTCTGCTCCCCAGACTGTAATTCTACCCAACCCAGATGAGCCTCAGACCACACTGGGTGAATGTATTGTTCTGTATTTCATGTAGAAGGTGAATGTTCACAGAACTTAAAGAACAGGAAGATGATAGTTGGGCACTATGACTAGCTGTTGGAAGCTATAATTGCTGCTCACAGTCTTTGATGGGTGATCCTACCTTTCTGATGCCCCATTCCTCTCTCTATCCAAAATCTGTAACCAGTCCCATAGTAGCGTTGTGAATATCATTTAGGATTAACTGAAACACGCCTCTCAGCTATTCCGCAAGTCTTTCATATAGGAAATAGAAATATTTCTGAAGAAGAACATGTATATTCTATCCCAATTTTAAATGCTTTATCACCTGACTACTTTCTTCCACCCCTTCCTGTGGCAGCTTGGCCACTTCACTGGACACAAAAAAGAGAAACTGAAACCACACCAGTTGGTTGGCAGGTCATAAGGGTTTCCTTGGTAGAATTTGAAATGTAGGAAAACAAAGCATCAATGCAGACAGCTAAATGTACTTCTCCTTACAAGGAAAAAAGTCTTTCAGTGTCTACAGACTCCCTCAAAACAGCAGTTTATTATATATAAGCTCAAACTTGTATTTTGATAGCCATGAAACTATTTTATATGGCTCTATTTCCAAAGGAGATATGGATATTAATTTTATTCATTGTCCCCAGAATACCCCATTAAACTTTGACTGTTAAACTCTACAGTTTAATTTTACCAAAATTCCACACTGACTGTATTAACTGGATCTGCGTCTATTATTGCTAATGTTTTCAAGTTTTTTAAATAGCTGTGGTTATTAATATGATTGAAATATTTAATTGCAGATACTACCAGTGATACCAGTCTCATTCTGAATTATTTTTTATAGAATTGCTTCATAACACACCTTTACCTACAGATGGTCTCTTATACCCCAAGGAGGAAAATAACCCATCACTCAGCAAGCAAAGCAATTCAGAGTCACAATATCATAAGACTAAGAAAACTGTACAAGTATAGAATTGTAGGGTTGGAAGGGTTCTTAAAAACCCTTTTACTTTTGATGAAGAATCCGAGGTTGTAGACCAAGTGATCAGCAAAGTGAGTTCTTAATCTCTGGCTCCTAAACCAGTATAATCTCCAACATATCTTGTTCCTCTTTCTACAGGCGAGAAGATTCCACTGAAACCATTGCATGCTTTGTATATTTAAATTATCAGGAAGAAGTATCTACAGACTCAACTTCTTTTATCTAATAACTTTTATTTTCAGCAAGCTTTTCTTAAGGGTCTGAAACTCCATGACCTTGGAAACCATCTGTTTTTTCTTGTTTCTCTTTATCTCAGACACACTTCATCCAACCAAACAGGTGTTTCCACAAGCTGTGACCTTGTATTTGATCATTATTTTCCTCCAGCAGGATAAACCTTTAATTTTTTTAGTGAAGAAACTGTCTTTTACACTGAATGTCCTAGAACTCTTTTGAGAATTGCCCAGCAAAAGGATAACTTCCTTCAATAATATATCCTTTCAATTTCTGTTCAATTTTTCTTCCCCAATATGGCCAATAAAAATTATGTTTTCTTTAACAAGATTAATTTTTTTCCATAACTTTCTTATAAAGACATATTCACCTTCTAGGTATATGTGGAATGTAATGTGCTTTTTATTTAGAAGAAATTGTTTCTTTTTTTACTTAAAATATTATACTGGGATACTCTGATACTGCAATGTGAACTTATAATAAGGATGAATTATTTTGTTGTGAAATTTATTTTTAACCTATTTAATAGGTATTTGGAGAAGATAATCCCAAAATTTCAACAGTTTCATTTGCCAGCTGAGTATCTTAGATATTAATGTGCCTTCTTGTTTTGTTTTCTGTTATAATAAGAAAATTATCTTCTTATATTCTATTGCTCTTTGCCAGCTTTAATTATGTTAATTGCTGTATATTTACATCTTCAATCACTCAACAAACGTCTTTGAGCTCCTAGAAGTTTAGGTACTGTTATTCTTGAGAAGCTCAAGAGCTCCGAACCTGTATCCTTTCTTTTAGCTTCCGAGCAGATACCACGAACTCCTCCTAAACCAAAAACATCTCCACGTTCAAGAATCCCACAAACACAATCAGGTAAATGTTTATTTTATATTCTGGCCTGAAAAGTTTAATGTTTGCGGAGTTACTCTGTTGAATTATATAGCAAGTTAGGTTTTTAACCCTTATATAATAAGTCTTCCTTTGAAACCTAATAAATATTTATATTTAGACTTTATCAAAAAGTATAGTATTAAAGTGGTTTATTCCAAAAAGCTTCCCTACTCTTATGTTATTTGAGAAGGGGATAGAGAAATATGGAATTTCTTAAAAAAAAATAGCCTGCCTACTCCCTTTGCTTCTCCTAGTTTGAGAAACCCTTCCGTGGTCCTTGAATGTCCTTCACCCACCAGTCCCCTAATTATTTTTTGGCCTCTAGGTCATGAAGATTTTTAATATGTATCTTCTCCTATAAAATATTTACATAATATGGCTTTGGTTGTTTTGCTATGAGTTTTGGAAAGGAGCTAAACAAGAGTCATCATAAACTATTTTTTTTTTAATAGTATGGAAGTTCTCACTTGAGTGATTAGCCCTGACTTCTCAACCAAGATCTTGTTCGTTTCCTACGACGGCCTTGGCAGATCTCCGTTTCAGGCTACCATAAACCTCACATACCTCAAAGAAAGCTCATATTTCCCTGCTTTTGGTTTCTCATTTATATCAGTTGCAGATTCTCAGCATTTTACATCAATTTTTATTCTCTTCCTCATCCAGCCTCTGGACTCCATCAGTTTTTCCAGACATTTCCAGCAGTGACGCCCACTCTAAGCACACAGCCAGTCATGCCTAGTCTCTGCCACTAGTCCTCCTGTCACTCTTCCCTCCTCATTTAAAACTGTCTCACCCTTGATCCTTAAGTGGCTGATTAACTAGTTCATCAGTTAGCCACTCAACAAATACTTATTGCATGCTGACTATGTGCCAAGCAATGTGCTACACACTGGGAATGTGAAGCAAAATTTCGGCCTTCTGTGGTCAAGGCACTTACAGCCTAGGCCAATTATCTATGTTTAAATTTGTTTATACATGGCCCATTTCCAAAAAGTATATGGAGTGCACCTACCCAGTGTACTGGAAAGGAACCCTAGCTATCACCAATGATCTGGGGAAAGGAAAATATTAGCAGCATCAAAATTATGCTTGATCCAGGTAATAGCTCTGAACTACCACCACAGAGTCTTTAGCACATCTCAGTATCCCTACTGAAAGAACAAAAAAAGAACTGTTAGATTTGGGAATGATCCCGAATACCTGAGAGATATTAACATTTTCCATTATATTTTTGAGAGAAATTTTACCCATTATTTTTTCTTTAAAGTAAAACTCCTTAAAAGAAAGTCCTGGGTACCACATCTAGCTAAAGATTTTCAATCTGCTTTAATGTATTTTAAAATGTGTTTTTATTTAATGACTAAAACTTTGCTAAAAATAATATGGGTGTGATACATAAGTATATGAATGTATCAAGGCAACAATCATCTGAAAGAATAAGAAATTTAAAAATAACAGGAAATAAATTTGAAATATTAATATATAAGAAATGCTGGGGTAATTAATTGGAATTAGTGAATAAGTAAAAATAAATAGAATAAGAATTTTTAAAGCAAGTATATTAAATTTGTGGATAGGAAACTAAAATCTAATTTTAAGAAATCAACAGATAAAGTGATGAAAGGAAGCTCTCAACCTTTTATGTGAATATAAAGAATAGAATAAATGTAGTAGGAAAAGGAGAAATGGAAAGAGATAAGAAAGCATAAAACATTGAATGTTGGAAAGTAAGAGAAGAGATGAAAAATAAGATGTGTTGAAAGTTAAAACATTGAGGCTATAAAGCCCTGGTTAGCAACATTATAAAAAGTAAAGGAGATAAGAACTAAGAAGGAAGGCATTCATTATTTTATCTTTTTGAGCTGTACTCTGTACTTACAAAAATCGATGTAGTAAATCAGGACCTTGCTCTAGTTTCCAATTATGACACTCTAAGTTTCAACCTCGTTTGATTTTGATTTAGACCTTTAGCTAACCTTTCTTGACAAGATAAGCAACTTCAGAATGGATAGATGCATACACTTAGTAGTTCCATTCAAACTCTGAAACCCTGGAGTGGCTGCAGACTGTAAGAGAGCATCCTGATTCTGTCCCAACCGAGCAAACTCCAGTCCATCAGCATCTCCCCTGGAAAGTAGCTGCCATCCAAATACTTCCAACTTTGTCAGGGTGGCCTAATATAAGTGGACGGTTTGGAAAATTGTTCATTCTACATATTCCTCTTAAAAGTGGGTGAAATTAGAATCTCTCTTACCCAGGAGAATATGAGCTTTACTTAATAGATCCCAGCAATAACCTAGGTTTTTATAGTCTTTCAAGGATGTTTCATATGTATATATGTGTATCACTCAATAGTTGAACGACAAATGTTTAAACTCTCATAGTACTTTCCCCCTTACATCTGGCTAGCTGTTGCAAAAGGCTGTTTGAATGAGAGAATGTTCTGTTCATATGTGCAACACCAAATGCAAATTATTATTGTTGGGCTATAAGGCCATCATCCAACATAGCATGTACAACCTAAAGAGCAATGCAGTTGTTTATCTATCACAATTTTCAGAATGAAATTCTGTGATTGGGCATGCTGCCTTATTTATATTTAAATTATGTTGATAAATTAGATAGCAAAATTTAAATTTACTGTTTTTGGCATTTGAAGACATAGTGGGATCAAAAACTTGGAAGAAATCAAGAATATTTTATCATTAAATATAGGTTTGATTTTTAGATTCCTGTGTTCATAAGTAATAGTGAACAATCCTGTTATTAATAATTTTATATCTAGAAATCTTATAACCATCAAAATTGCTCCTAATTTTTGAGGGGGCAAACAATGTGAAAAGCAAAATATACTCAGATCTTTCGATGTCAAATTTGTAAAGTTTCTCCAAAAGTGGAAAGAAATGTTTATAGGAGTATAGCTTCCATATCATTTTGACATTCACACTTAATTCTCAGACACCCTTTGAGTTAGGACAGGTTTATTATGTCCACCTAAAAAATGAGCAAGTTAAAAATGTGACCTGAAGAGCTGGGATATAGGAAACCCAAGAGTTGGGACCTAGCGATCATGTCTGAACCGTGGGGTTCAGTTCAAGTCTTGGCTGGTGCTTAATGGCCATGTGACCCCAGGCAGTAGTCTCCAACCTGGCTTCAAAGTGAAGCTGATCATTCCTTCCTCTCAGCGTTATGGTGAGAATCAAAGGGCATAATCTTTATGGAAGCATTTTTGAAGTTGTAAAATGAACTATATAAATAAAGTAGGCCTTTCTTCCCCTGCTCCCCCAGGACTAAAACAAAACAAAACAAAAATCTATTACATTAGCACCTTGTTACTCCAAAGGAACAGCTGTGGAAAGACAGTTTGAGTTTGTAAACATGTCATTTAAAGGTTTATTTAGAGCCTGAGAATTGCGAGAGGCAGAACGTGAGCCCAGCCATTCCATTCTGTTGCCCATTCTCTTTCTGCTGTTGCTGACCTGACTTTAAGTTGCTTTCATACATGCTTTTTGGGGTCCCACTTTGACTTTACAGAACTCATTCTTCACAGAAAGGCATGAAGATGGGTTTAAGAAGTCAAGCAAACATCCAGAGAAGAAGAGTACTCTCATTAATTTAATTGCTATCTCTTCTGAAAGATTTCCAAAGTTTCTTCATCCTACCCTTATGCTTATTCAAATTTTGCTGTTTCTCAGATTTCATTTTTCTTAAAGTATCTGAAATTCTAACTGATTTACTTTTAGAGCTTAAGGTTTATTTTTCCATATAACTCCTATTTCAATACTTTTTTAAAAGCAATAATCAGGTTTATGCTTTGTCAGATCTTATGTGCTAAGCTTGACTGGGAGATGCTGAAACTAAATGACTCATGGTCCAAGCTCTCTCTTTCAGCTCCTAAGGTATTCCAGCATGTTACTCTGAAGCCAAAGACATCACCAAGTCCAGAAGTGTCCTATACGCCACCTGGTAAATGCTTTATTTCATGTTTAAGTCAAATGCATTCTACTGTCACATTCTGCTGCAATGAAGCATGAGGAAGAATGGATATGAAGTCCATATTTCATTTATGTTCAGATACCGTGTTGTGCCGTGCATGATATAATCATTTCAAAGTGTTCATAAGAGTTACATATATGCTCCATTATTTATGTAAACATTGATATAATCCAAAGGCAGAGAATTATGCTAAGGGTAGAAGACTTCTCTTTTTTTCTGACTTATAAAAAATAACCTTCTGGAATTAAGGGTAGAATGCTTCTTTCTTTTCTGACTTCTAAAATATAACCTACTAATGTTAACTATGCGATGCTCACATTTCACCAAAATAAGATAAAGAATTGGGATTTTTCCACAAAAATGATAAAATGATGCTTTGCAAATGGAGAAAATGATGTTTAGCCATTTTATTGGGTTCAGAAATTTCACACAATTCAGCATTGAGGACTTTTTTTTCCTTTGAGGTTTTTTTGTTGACTGTTTTTAATTCTACTTTCCCAATTCATGGAGCAGTTAAGAAATTTGTTTCACACACACGCTAAATGACTTCTTTAGCTGCAGATCTATTTATTGCCTATCATTTGAGAAGGCTCTTTGCCTGTTTAGGGGGAATTATCTTGCATTTGTGGGAGAAGTCAGGGTGGGGACTGCAAGGACGCAGACATCTCTCTAGATCCCCAAGTGATCATAAGAAGCTACTGTTAGCTCCACTAAGTAGTTTGTTGTTGGTTCACTAATAAGCCAAGCCAAATTTTTAGCCTGAGTATCTGAGAAATACTACAGGTTTTGCCCCCTTTAAAAAAAAAAAAAAAAAGTTCAATTATTATAAATTCTTAGGTGGTCCTAGAAGCTTATAGAACATTCCTAGAACCAAAGCTTTCTGAGCCATAGCTTGGACTGATGGCATTTTGGAAGCAAGTGAATTCACTTGCTTTCTTGGTTTCCTGGTTATGTAAGTGGAGAATGTTTCTGCTGCTGTGGGATGGTTAGGTGGTTGCAAGCAGTGATAGTCCACAAAGAGCCTTTTTGCCCTGAAGTCCAGAATGTCAATTTGTACTGCTAAAAGCAAAAGTCATATTATAAACACCAATAAGAAAAAAGCTTGTCTTCCCACTGGCAAAAGGCCAACTTCTTGTTTTCAACTATGGAAAAAATATGTTAATGGAGATGGAGTCATTAGCGATAACAACAGTATATGTGAGTGATTTTATTACTTTTCCTCTTCATTAGAAAAAGTAATACTATTGGTTCTGATATGACATAATCTCATTAAAGTAATATATCTAATAGTTAAACTTTTCTTCTTTTTAAATAATATTTACCTTACTTTTATCAATACCTTATTTTTCACAGACACTCTAACTCGTAAGTTTGAGCTTGGAATAGCGGCACAAACGCTCCCCATGGAGCCTTCCTTAGGCTTATTTTATTGACTCTCCAGTTCCAAGAGTCTCTAAACCTGAGTGTGACCTGTGTCTCTAAACCTGGTGCTGGTCTTGCCACTCGTCCGTCAGGGGTTCCCCTGTTAGTCCATGGCTGTGATGCCACAGGAGGAAACATAAGGCAATCATTACTGCTTTTCAGTTTTCTCCCAAGTGTTTAAAAGACTGGATTCAAACAGTTTGGGGGTTGTATCTAGTCTCAGGTTCGCTTCCTAATGAGCCCATGACTTTGTTTACTGGCTCCTCAGAAAACAGGGTAAGTTACATGTAAACGTAATGTGTGCTGGTATATCCTAGAGAGGCAGTTCAGTTCAATTCAGTTGCTCAGTCGTATCCGACTCTTTGCGACCCCATGAACCGCAACACGCCAGGCCTCCCTGTCCATCACCAACTCCCGGAGTCCACCGAAACCCATGTCCATCAAGTCGGTGATGCCATCCAACCATCTCATCCTCTGTCATCCCCTTCTCCTCCTGCCCTCAATCTTTCCCAGCATCAGGGTCTTTTCAAATGAGTCAGCTCTTCACATCAGATGGCCAAAGTTTTGGAGTTTTAGCTTCAGCATCAGTCCTTCCAATGAACACCCAGGACTGATCTCCTTTGGGAAGGACTGGTTGGATCTCCTTGCAGTCCAAGAGAGACAGATGCTCTGTAAAAATGTAAAATGTAGTACTGAAATCGGGGCATAGTTATGTTTTAACATGATGTTTGTCTCAATTTATTCTAAGTGATGTCAGAAGTGACAAATTGAATTTTTAGACTTGTACCAAATAAGTCAGTCTTGGATTCTCTGTACAGCTCTTCTATTCCGTAGGTGCCTAAGCATAACACAGCTTTCATCCAGCTAGCCCTTTAGAGAATATCCAGTCACTCAGTCAAATTAACTACAGTATTTAATGAGGAATCTAGACACATTGAGCCCACACAGCATGTCCAGAGCCAGAACAGTACTGGCTTTTCTTTTGATCTGTCTTGGAGAAATGCTTTCAAATTCAGGGCAGAGGACTCACTCTGATGCCTCGTTCAGCAGAGCTGTGCCTTCTTTATAGATTTGTTTCTGTACCAAGGGCTGTCTTGGCTGTGTGGCAACTTCTGTCACTGCAGAAATATTTGGATAGACTTCAGTCATTGGAAGCAAGCCAGGGGGGAAAAAATATATCTAGATTTCAGCAAGCCATCCAACCCTGCAAATGCTCTTGGCAGACTCTACTTTGCAGCATTTTTTCAGTTAGGAAAGAAGGGATGAATGCTAAAATGTCTTTTGGAGATGGAATTGCTAGAATGTGGACAATGACTGAATGTGTCATGGAGAGAAGGAGGACACTGTGATTTCCAGCTTAGGCAGGTGGTGGTGGCTTAGTCGCTAAGTCGTGTCTGACTCTTGGCAACCCCGTGGAATGTAGACTGCCAGGCTCCTCTGTCCATGGGGATTCTCCTGGCAAGATTACTGGAGTGGGTTGCCATTTCCTTCTCCAGATCTTCCCCACCCAGGAATCGAACCTGGGTCTCCTGCATTGCAAATGGATTCTTAACCAACTGAGCTACCAGGGAAGCTAGCTTATGCAGGTGGTAGATGCTAATACCATTAACTAAGGCAGGGAACACAGAGGGAGGAATAAGGTGCTAGGTTTGGAGGGCCAGTTGGATTGGTGATTGAAATGAATTTTTGGCTTTCTAAACCTAAGTCAATATTTAAGACGTAGATTTGGGAGCCATGTGTCTATGTGTCTACTATGTATAGAAGGTTCTTAAATTTTGAGGAAATGATATCATCCAGGAGAAGGTACAGACTGAGAAAATAAGAGATCAGAGATCAAAGTCTTAGAGGACATGGTTACGTTTAAATAGTGGATAGAGGAAGGAGGAGCCAGCAGACGTTTCTGTCAAACGACCAGAGAGTACCAGGAAAGAGGAACTCAGGAGGCCAGGCAGGGAAGGACGGCCATGAGTAACAGTGAGGAGGAGGAGGTCAGAAGAGCCACTGGACTTGACAGTGCAGGTCTAGAAGCCTGCACCTGAAACCTGTGGGCCAATGCTTCAGAATTCAGCAATTTTCAGACTTTGGAAAGGTAAAACAGCACAGATACCATAGGTTACAAGCATATTCATAAGTCTGCAGTGAGAAGCATGAGCAGTCACACTACCTAGGATAAATAAAAACCGTAAATTGACTTAGATCAGTTCTAATCAGGCGTTGCTGTCAAAGAGGCTAAGCAAAAAAATAAAAAATAAAAGCTTTTTGGTCTTTAGAACACTGTGATATTCAGAACTATGGATGAGGCCTCATGGATCCATGGGTGCAGGAGATCCGTGAAAGGGAAGGCCATCTCCAGTGGATGGAGAAGATGCAGTTAAGAAACCAGCAAGGAGAGGCAGAGTTCTTAGTTGAGAGGAATGAGAGCGATAAAGGGATTGTTTGAAGGGGAAGCCATGTCAAGGAACTGGTTATTGATTTTAGGATGTTGGAAGACTTGAGTTGTTTTATGGGTGGAGAGGGAAGAATTCATAGATAAATGAAAAGATGGACTAATGGAGAAAAATAGAAGATAATAGGAATGATAGAAAGCGAAAGGTCCCAGAGGAGACCCGAGGGAAGGTGACCCAGGAGCACAAGTGAAGCCCTGAAAGTGGTCTCTGGGAGGCAGGAAACCTGCTGCCCCTCAGACTGCGCCTCCGGGTACAACGGTAGAGAAAAGGAAGTGGGAGCCTGGACACGAAGGCGTGTGGTCTGTGTGTCACTTGTCTCTGAGGATATCCTCGTAGGCTGTTGCGAGGGTAACCTTACTGAACTCCTTCGTGCATCTCCATCAGAGAGCAACGCCTGCGTTCTCCCATCTGTTCTGGCAGAACACTCTTGCATGTTCATTCACCTTTGTCCATACCAGACACATTCACTCACAGTCGTTTTCTGGCAGTTGAATTTTTCTTTGAAGAGATGCCCTTTATTCAAAAAGGTAGTTAATGCATATAAGTGGTAAGTTAATTTGTTTGTTAATATAAATGATAAATTGGCTAAAACAAGTGGGTCTAAAATATAATAATGGTAAATATTTTAATAAGGAAATCAAAACTGCCTTCTCAGTTAAATTCTCATGATGTACACTCATAAGTTTCCCCCGCATGGAAGATTTAGGTTTTTAGAATCATGCTCTTATTCAACTTAATATAAAGCAGAATGCCACATAGGGAAAAAGAAAAAAAAAACAACACGCTGCATTTCTTGGAGCTGCCATTGACCAAACAAGAGAGTGATCCCCATCCCTTTCCTGCAAATATTTCTAGTTCTTTCCTTTCCACTGATTTCACCTGCTTTAGAACGCCTGGTATGGCAGTTATTAAATCGTCACTTCATGGTTAAAAAGCGCCAGTGGCAGCAGCAGGAATCCACATTATGCTTGTCTGAATTCCTCAGGAAACTCAAGCAGGCAGCAGGTAATGTGTTTACAATATGGTGGATTTATTGGTAGCACATTTCTTCTCAGCTTTTCCCTTCCTTAATCCCACCTCCTCTCTGTGCAGTCTAGCACTGGAGCCAATTAGGATGTTTATAAACCACAGGCTGCTTTGTATGGCCATGACCTTCTCAGAGCCACATCAGAGTGCCTTCTCCCTCACCCTACGGATAAACAGTTAGTTTGATTTACGGCTGGAAATCCTTCATGTTTTACTACTTGAATCTTTAAAAAGACTACATAGCAGTGGTGAAATGTTCACCATTATGACAGGTTTTCTTTAACTTTGTCCACCACTTAGCTTTTCTGAAGTTAACCTTTTTAAAACAAACAAAAATCCACATTTCAAGTTCTCCTGGTCGTTATCTTTTAGCTCATAGAAGTTCTAATAGAGTCACATTCTTTCCAATGGACCGAATTCCACAACTGTGATTTCACCAGTACTTACTCAGTGGCCTAGACTAAGAACAGATGTGACATTCACATTAAATATCATCTCCAAAAGCCATAAAAGAAAATGAATGTCCATTTTATATGATCTTTTTTCTGCACGAATGGTAAAGGTGTGTTTGTCCACCTTGTGATGCAAAAGTTTTTTCTTCATCTTTCTCAGAGGGAGAATTCTAGCCTGAATCCTATTTTTTTTTTTCCCTCCAGCACTATATTAGATGCAAGAAAGTTACACTGCATGGCTAAGGGTATTTATGAATTTAATGTGGTAGGAAAACTTTTCAATGAGTGAGTAGGGTTGACACGGACTTCCTTGTGGGGAAACTGAGTCAAAGAAATACATTATATTGTTCCTGAAAGGAGATTTGCCATAGAAATCTGGTATTAACAATAGGCAAGTCAACCTGATATTTTCCCCAATGAGAGATAAGGCATCAATTCCCAGCCTACCATTTTATTTTTCCAGAGTAGAACTGGACACAGGTATTAAAAACATACCGTAGATCAGAACTGAATATGAGTAGGCTTGTAGTTTAGCATATATTTGTCTCCCTTGTTTTCATGCCAGGAGTCCCTAATACTTATACTAAAAGCCACATCACTAAGAATGACAAAAATGGCAAAATTTATCTAACATTTACTAAACAAACACTGTTATCACCTTTACATGTGGAGTCTTCTAACAAGTGGCTGATTCCTTTTGCTCTATTTTTCCCCCATAACTATCATGCCTTTAAGGAATAAAGTTTTGTTCTCTTTTTAGATCCTCAAGAGCTTTGCTTTTCTTGCTGTTTCCCCCAATTTTCAGCCCATTTCTTTAAAATAATGTTTCCTATTTCTGTTGGTGGAATTTCAGCAGGAATATCAAATGGCAGCTAGCCACTTCAGACAAAAGCTGACTTCTTATTTTGAAGATAACTTAGGGAGATAACCTTCTTATGTTTAATTAAATCAGTTTTTTTCTTCCTTTTCTTCCCCGCTCCGTGGAATCTTCAAAATGAACCGTGACCAACTTTGTTTTACTGCTGCTAGGACCTTCCTGAATACACTGACATCTTCCATTTTGGAAAGACAGTCCTTTTCTTGCCTTAGTGTTTTAGCCATTGTGAAATATCTTTACTTCCTTCATGCTTCCCAGGGTTTTATGTCTGTGGGTTGAGTTTCACTCCAGGTATGGCATTTAGAATGCACAGTGATTTATCATCTTTTTCTTTCAGTTCCAAGGGATGTGCTCCTTCCCCATAAACCAGTCCCTGAAGTCTCTCAGAGCGAACCTGGTAAATGAACTATTTTATTCTCCCAGTTAGGAAGTGTATTTTTTAAAAAACATTCTTGAGGCAAATATATTTTTGTAATGAGGGTGATATGTAGAAGAAGCTCAGAGAAAATTTTACATAGAAAATGTGTATTTCTTTAGAGAAAGATTTAATCATACAATCGGCTTGACCTATTTCCCCTATGAGGGAATAGGGTCTAATTAGTTTATTTTCCCTGAAAGTGTTTTTATTGAATAGGAAATCATGCTAAAGTTATAAGATATAATTATTAAGTGAGTCAACCATTTTCACCTTTTTTCAGGATGTAAATATAACTACATCCAAATGTGGGTGTACTTTTAAATTTAAAATATGGGTGCCTACCCAAATTTTCCTCATAGTGACAGTGAATGAAAACTTTAAAGTTTTAGCTAAACTAAGTTCCCTGGGTGTCACCTGAATTTTCTTATATTTATTCTGATTCTCTAAGAGAATGTTTAAATGTTCAGATGGGTGCGTTGTAGAAACACAAAAACTAGGTTTACTCCAGGTAGTAATTCTCATAAATATATTTCTTTGGTTTGCTTTTGGCCTAGTTCTGCAACCTGTTACCTTTACAATCCATCTGCCAGAGACAACTCTAGGTAATGGTTTTTCCATTTGACCCACTCTAATTATTTTCCTGGCTGCCATCAAGATTGCAGGCCTTTCTCAAACAATCACATTGAAACATCCTTCCTTCTCAATCCTCTTCATTGTTTCATTCTCATTATTTTTTACCCTTTTCAGAATAGAAAGGCAGTGGTTTCACTGTTTTAAAGGTTTGCTCTGAAGACCAGCTTAAGACAGCTCATTACCACCTTCATCCTCACCTACCTCATTTATCTGTGTTCAAAACAATCCCACCTTACTCATGCCCATATAATTCACATTTCTGCCAGCTTAATGGTTCTCAACTGTGGCCTTAACAACACACTAGCATGCTGTGGAAGGCTCTGGCCAGTAATTATTGTATAGATCAAAATACTAAAATTTGCCACTGGTTTATTTTTAAAAATAAATTTGAACGGACTCCAGATGGTTGCTACAGTGATGATATCCTCTCCTCTGGGTGATCCCGTGTGCTCTCTTGGAGGGGAGAGACGCAGCTGACAGACCTAGAACTGTGTCTAACCCATACGCATCTTAACCAGACAGGGTCATGGAGTGTGTCAAGCACTGCATGTAGTTTATTACTATCCTGGTGGAGGAAAAAAAAAAACAGTTGAGAACCATTATTCTGATATTCCACAGGTTCCATGCACACTTAACTTTCTTTTCCATGACCCACTTAATGTTTTCCTTTTTGTACTGCAAGTAACAGAATCTCATGTGATATTATTTTGGCTGGTTGCTGGCTTTTGAATCTAAAGATTGACAGCCTTGGGACTTGTCTTTTCAGCTCCTTTAGAGACACGAGGCAGCCCTTTGATTCCTATGATTTCACCAAGTACTAGTCAAGAGGAACTACAAACCAGTCTTGGTAAATTTTGCTTTGATATTCAGTCCAATGAGGACTTTACATTTTAGGAATTGCCCTTAAAGTGGCCATATGTACGTCGTGTTCATGGTATTCCAAAGAATAGAGAGTCTCTCTTTATCACTGTAAAAGGTATCTATTTCTCTTGACTCTTTTACATTAATTGTGTATTTGTCCTCATATTTATGCTGATTTCCAATACAAGATGAGAATGTTTTAAAACATCTTAACAAAATCTCAGTTACTATTTTGGAAAAAGAATCTTCCCGATATATGTATAATTATGGCTGGTTTGTGTTGTTGTGTGGCAGAAACCAGTACAACCTTGTAAAGCAATTTCCCTCCGATTAAAGAATAAATTAAAAAAAATCTTCCCAGTGTATATCAATGCTATACTTTCTTGTTGCTTCTTCCATATTTGAAACTGTATTTGGGAAGAAAACTTTTATTTTTGAAATCTGAATATCTTATAGTGTTAAGTGCAATGCTAAGCAATGGGAATCCCAAAATACAACCGCTTTAAAGGTAAGTCCTTACCTTGGAGAGATCACCATCTAATAGAAAGACAGGATTTAGCAATAATTGTGCTTCCTCTGTGCTACCCAGTGTTCCACACATATTTTTTTTATTTTAAGACACATTACAAGTGTGTGATGTAGATTCTACTGTCCCATTTTACAGATTAGAAAATTGAGGCATATAAAGAGCTAACATCAGAGCCAAATTGTAACCCACGTTCTCAGTTGTCAGAGCTCCTGGAATTCACTCTCATATTATACATTACAATGAGATCATAGAGAAATGAGCGGGACACTGAACAAGAAAACTGCCTGGGGGTATCAGGGAAGGCTTCACAGAGGAAGTGACATGTATGCTAGGTCTTCCAGTTGGAATGAGAGTTAAAGGTATGAAGGGCTCTTCAGGTTAAAGAGAGATGGGGAAGAGGCACATACAGAGAATGGTAGCCAGACTCATCTGATGAAGTGGGTAGCCTGGAGAAACACAGGTGGATGGATGAGTCAGGAAGACTGGCTGGGATGAGCTGGCCATGCTTTCGAGGAGTTCAGCATCAATGTCTTCACTGTGTGGGAAACCCGAGTTTGCCCGCGACTTGGCTGAATGTGAACAGGAAAGCAAGAATTCCCAGCTGTGTTTGCTGGCTCCTCCGCCCTGTCACCACATCCCACATGGCTATGTTTAAATCAGTGGCTTTACTTTCCTCCTTTCATCCCTTTTCAGGTAAATCCATTCTCTGTGTGTGAAATAAAGTTACTGATCCCATTTTAAAAGGAATCCTTTTTGAAGGAAAATACTCAAAACTGAATGAGCGAATATATCCTAATTACCAAATATTTACCTATTATAGCATAGGCCCTCAAAGTCAGCATTACCCATGAGAGGAAGTCAAAAGTACTTATCAAGAACCACTGCTGAATATGTTAATTATCTAAATTCCACTTCTGGGTTTTTTGCTTTTTTTTTTTTTTTTACTATATCTTAGTTTATTGGGCCAACTACCACAATTATCTATGAGCAGAATCTAGATTATAAAACAGGCAGAAAATAAGATGACAGCATATTATTTTCACCAAATATTTCCTTGGATCCAGTACATGACAGAGTGAACAGTATAATTTGCTCTGTCAGTATGATGTTGTAATTATTTCAAGATAATATAGGGGTGTTTATTTTGTTAGGAGTAATATGTCTATATGTCAATAAACTTTGCTTTTCATGTAAGATAAATAGAATATTTATTCTTATGTGGTATAAATGCACATTATTTTCTATGACCTATTTTTTCCAGCTCACCTAAATAACTTGTGAAGCTCGTGAAATAGAAGGAAACATGAAGGCAATGATACATAAGACAGGAGGCACATCCAAGACAATAGCCATGTCCAGTATCATTAAACAGTGACCCTGAACTAAAAGCTTTTGGAGATCCTTATAATAATCATTAATATAATAGTGCAAGGAGACAGTAAATATAAGAAATCAGAGTTATTAAAATGAACCAGTAACTTTAAAATAAGATGATCACTGGGCAGAGTTATAAATTCAGTTTACCCTTTTATCATTGCATGGGGAAGAAAAGAGTGTGGGTTTTTTCGTTATTTATTTTTTTTACTTGTTCATTAATGGTATTTATTTAAAGCCATTCATCTTACTGTGTTTTCCCCAGCAGAAACAGACCAGTCTACCCAAGAGCTCTTCACAATGAAAGTTCCACGAACGACTGAATTGGCAAAGACAACTCAGGGTAAAGCTATTTCCCTACCTCTGCATAGTAGCTTTTCCTTCTTTGTTTAAGCAGGAAGAAAATTTTCCTTTAAGAAACAGAATTTTCATCACAGTGAGTTAGTTTAAATTTTTTTCACTTCACAGGTACAGGACATCAGCCAAGTAATATTTATATGATTACCAGTTGAATGTAGGAAAGACAGTCTCTTTAGTTAGAGCTTTGCTTTGAGCGCTAATGTTCTTTGCAGTTGATGATAATGACTAAGAATGTAAGCTCCTATTTTTTTTTCCTTGCCTTACCTTCTTTCCCCTCATTTTCCAGATCTGATAAATTACAAGCTGTGTTACCTTCCTCCTTCTCCTCCTACTTTTCTCTGCCTCTTTTCCTCTTTGTCCTATCTCCAGAACTTGATGAACTCATTGATACTGCAGCCTGAGAAAGGAAACTAGTAACAAGAAAATCATTTTTAATGATGAATTAATATTAAAACATCCAGGAAGGTTTGCTCTGGGGTTTCCTTATATCATTTCTTCTTTCTGCTTATTGGGAAGTCAACTCGCCTACACAAAGCTTTTTCTCACATCTTCATGCTCTCAGACATCTTTCCCTTTTATATACTTCTTTCTTACTTGGATTGTAACCAGTTGAAGATTTCAAGTATTTCTGTGTTTTTTTCTTTTCCTTTTTTTTTTTTTCCTTAATAACCCTCTTTTGCCCATTTCTACCTCTAGCATGTGGAGGGACGCCCCCCAAAATGAGAGCAAATAAATTTTAAAGAGTTGCAAGACAAATTTATTTTACTCAATTGTCAGTTATACTGGAGGGAGGGACTGGTAGAAAAAAACATAGCAATAAGAGGAAATGATAATAAAAGATATCTACCTTTAAGGGATATATTTTATAACAAGTAGAGCAGTACTTATTCTAAATGAACATGACTGAGAATACTCGTTATGGTATAGGGCAGTTCTTGTAAATTTTCTAAGTCTTTTGAATTTGTTTCATTTTTATAATGGCTTAAATGTTAATTTTATATTTACTTTATTACCTTTCTGTATGTTAACTTTTATTTATTTAAAAAATATGCACAGAAGTAAGGAGCCTAGTGTAATAGCAGTCTTCCCACACCCTCATTATCAGTTTCAGACATTAACAGCAGATGTTCAATCCTATTGCATCCGTATCCCATCCTGATCTTTATATGTTTATTTTTTAATGGTTTTGCAAACTTCTTTAATGTCTGGCTTAATAGAAGATAGCTGGATTCTCATAATCAAACACATTGATGTTTTTACAGCAAAATATGTATTGACAATAAGCAGGATAAATATTCTTCAGGTTGTATTGCCAAATGAGAAAAAGATTTCAGCTTTTAGAGCCTTGTAAATTTCAGAGTTGAGAATAAAAGATAATAGGCATGTCCTTTTCTTGTTTTTGCTTCCTCTTACGTTAATGGGAATATCAATATTTTTATCAAATTGCTTCTAGAACTTGGCTTTATAGATGAATTTCACAGTTGATTGGATGTATATTCAAGCTCTGATACCATTCAATGGATTATCTTAACATATTTATATTACGTACTGCACTTTAATCATTTTCTTGTGTTCTGAGGATCCTTAGCCTAACCTATGCGACTCTGGGATCCACACTTTTCTAGACTTGTGCCAAGGCCCTTTAAAGGGGGCTCACCAGGAATGCATTTCCAACATGGCCAGGCCAGTACCCCTGCTTGGGGGTAGAGGGTGAGCTTTAGCAACAGCACCCTGGTGTGTGTCCTAGATCACCCTTTGACCCAACCCTGACCCAACCCTCATAAACGCGTGCCTGAGCGTTGTGGACGAGGAGGTTGGTCCATCGTATTGTTTTTGGCGTGTTGTGTTTCTAATAGTCGGCATGAGATGCACAGGACGGCCCACAGCAACTTGAGAGATGCTGCGAGGATGAAATCGTTCCTCTTCTCCATTCGTGTGCCTGTACCTTGTGCTCTTTGGTCTGGAGCGCTGGGGCCTCACTGCTGAGGGCCCGGAGACCAAAGAGCACAAGCAGTTTTCTCAAGGCCCTGTATTATCTGGTGACGAGATATGTAATTCACAGCCTAAACTTGTTATATTTCAACTCCTTTATGAAAAGTTCTTTCAAAATATAAGTAAAGACTACAGAAAAAGAAAAAAACAAATTCTGATCCTGTGGCTTAGAAATAATGAATGTAGTACTGATTATTTCTGTGTTCTGCTCAAAGTTTCTTTCTAAAGTTTTAAAATTTGTATATATTCTAGCAAGATACTAATAGAACCATGATTCTTTATATTTCTTAAAGCAAAGACACTCTAACATTGAAGAAATTAACAAGAGAGCTGAAGTATGTTCAACAGACAGGGAACCCTACCACTCTCAAAGAAAATTGAAGAAAAACATTTGCAAGTCATCACCACATATTTTAGGGTGTGAGAGAACTGATTTTTTTTAAAATAACATCAGTTCCTCTGTTCACTCTAGGTATTACATGTTGAAAGTCCCACGTTAAACCTACAGAGAATTTCAGTACATGTCTGCTGTTTTTGGCCTGAAATTTGGCAAAATTCTTCTCATCAGTCTTCATACTGGAAGTTTATAAATGAGCTACATTATAATCTGTTTTGCAGGTGTATTTTTTTTAATGTGGTAGGCAAGGTATTTGCTGATTTACGGTTACATAAATACTCACTCAAGATGTGAACAAAATCACTGAAACAGTGTAATCTACTTACAAAGTTTGCACAAAAATTTTTTCCAGTCTTAGCTAAAGCATTACCAAGAAAGCTGGTGGCAGGAGGCAATGTGGTATGTTGAGGCAGGCAGTGGAGGGAAGATGAGGATAGACACATTCCAGGATGGATGCACACTTTAAAAGCTTATAAAGGAACTTCCCTGGTGGTTCAGTGGTTGAGATTCTACCCTTCCACTGCAGGGAACTAGTGTTCAATCCTGGTTGAGGAACTAAAATCCTGCATGCTATGTGGCCAAAAATATAAAGAAAGAAGAAAGAAAAGCACACATTTACAGAGTACTGGTTTGTGTCAGAAATGGAAATAAACAACATAACCTTTGTTTAAAAAAAGGAAAGGAAAACAGAGAGGGAGCAAAAATATTTCCACTGAGTTTCTCATGAATTTGTCTGCTTACAATGGTTACTCATTTTTCAAATGTGTTTGACAAGTCATCATTAATGGTTCACACTGTGTCAGGCCCTGGATAACAGGAGCAGAAAGTAGCAAGGTGGCATGTTGGTCCCTGGGAATTATGAATACTTGATCTTTTCTCACCCTCCCTTGATGAGCAGGACCCCAGAGGTCGTTTTCGTTCATCCCTAAAGCTTTACTGGAAAAGGAAGTAGAACCCACTCCAGTATTCTGGCCTGGAGAATTCCATAGACAGAGGAGCCCGACAGGCTATAGTCTCAGTTCAGTTACTCAGGCATGTCCGACTCTTTGTGACCCCATGGACTGAAGCACAGCAGGCTTCCCTGTCCATCACCAGCTCCTGGAGCTTACTCAAACTCGTGTCCACCGAGTCAGTGATGGCATCCAACCATCTCATCCTCTGTCATCCCCTTCTCCTCCCACCTTCAAACTTTCCCAGCATCAGGGTCTTTGCCAGTGAGTCAGTTCTTCACATCAGGTGGCCAAAGTATTGGAGTTTCAGCTTCAGCATCAATCCTTCCAGTGAATATTCAGGACTGATTTCCTTTAGGATGGACTGCTTGGATCTCCTTGCTGTCCAAGGGACCCTCAAGAGACTTCTCCAACACCACACTTCAAAATGATCAATTCTTCAACACTCAACTTTCTTTATAGTCCAACTCTTACATCCACACATGACTACTGGAAAAACTATAGCTTTGACTAGATGGACCTATGTTGGCAAAGTAATGTCTCTGCTTTTTAATATGCTATTTAGGTTGGTGTAGTTTTTCTTTTAAGGAGCAAGCATCTTTATTTTTGTGGCTTAAGTCACCATCTGCAGTGATTTTGGAGCCCCAAAAAATAAAGTCTGACACTGTTTCCTTTGATTTCCCATCTATTTGCCATGAAGTGATGGGACCGGATGCCATGATCTTAGTTTTCTGAATGTTGAGTTTTAAGCCAACTTTTTCACTCTCCTCTATCATTTCAAGAGGCTCTTTAGTTCTTCGTTTTCTGCCATAAGGGTGGGGTCATCTGCATATCTGAGGTTATTGATATTTCTCCTGGCAATCTTGATTCCAGCTTGTGCTTAATCCAGCCTGCCATTTCTCATGATGTACTCTGCATATAAGTTAAATAAGCAGGGTGAAAATATACAGGCTTGACGTACTCCTTTCCTGATTTGGAACCAGTCTGTTGTTTCATATCCAGTACTAACTGTTGCTTCTTGACCTACATACAGATTTCTCAGGAGGCAGGTCAGGTGGTCTGATAGTCCCATCTCTTGAAGAATTTTCCACAGTTTATTGTGATCCACAGAGTTGAAGGCTTTGGTATAGCATATAAAGTAGAAGTAGATGTTTTTCTGGAATTCTCTTGATTTTTTGATGCTCTAATGGATGTTGGCAATTTGATCTCTGGTTCCTCTGCCTTTTCTAAATCCAGCTTGTACATCTGGAAGTTCACTGTTTACATATTGTTGAAGCCTGGCTTGGAGGATTTTGAGTATTACGTTGCTAGTGTGTGAGATGAGTGCAATTGTGTGATAGTTCGAGCATTCTTTGGCATTGCGTTTCTTTGGGATTGGAATAAAAACTGACCTTTTCCAGTCCTGTGGCCACTGCTGAGTTTTCCAACTTTGCTGGCATATTGAGTGCAGCACTTTCACACCATCCTCTTTTAGGATTTGAAATAGTTCTACTGGAATTCCATCACCTCCACTAGCTTTGTTCATAGTGATGCTTCCTAAGGCCCACTTGACTTTGCATTCCAGGATGTCTGGCTCTAGGTGAGTGAGCACACATTCGTGGTTATCTAGGTCATTATGATCTTTTTTGTATAGCTCTTCTGTGTATTCTTGCCACCTCTTCTTAATATCTTCTGCTTCTGTTAGGTCCATAACACTTCTGTCCTTTATTGTGCCCATCTCTGCATGAAATATTCCCTTGGTATCTCTAATTTTCTTGAAGAGATCGCTAGTCTTTCCCATTCTACTGTTTTCCTCTATTTCTTTGCATTGATCACTAAGGAAGGCTTTGTTATCTCTCCTTGCTATTCTTTGGAACTCTGATTCAAATTCAAAAAATCTTTCCTTTTCTCCTTTGCCTTTAGCTTCTCTTCTTTTCTCAGCTATGTATAAGGCCCCCGAAGACAACCATTTTGCCTTTTTGCATTTCTTTTTCTTGGGGATGGTTTTGATCACTGCCTCCTGTACAATGTCACAAACCTCCATCCACAGTTCTTCAGACACTCTATCAGATCTAATCCCTAAAATCTATTTCTCACTTCCACTGTATAATTGTAAGAGGTTTGATTTAGGTCATACTTGAATGGTCTAGTGGTTTTCCCTACTTTCTTCAATTTAAGTCTGAATTTCACAGTAAGGAGTTCATGATCTGAGCCACAGTCAGCTTCTGGTCTTGTTTTTGCTGACTGTATAGAGCTTCTCCATCTTTGGCTGCAAAGAATATAATCAGTCTGCTTTCAGTATTGACCATCTCCTGATGTCCATGTGCACAGTCTTCTCCTGTGTTGTTGGAATAGGGTGTTTGCTATGACCAGTGTGTTCTCTTGGCAAAATTCTATTAGCCTTTGCCCTGCTTCATTTTGTACTCCAAGGCCAAATTTGCCTGTTACTCCAGCTATCTCTTGACTGCCTACTTTTGCATTCCAGTTCCCTATAATGAAAAGGACATCTTTTTTTGGTGTTAGTTTTAGAAGGTCTTGTAGGTCTTCATAGAACCGTTCAACTTCAGCTTCTTCAGCATTACTGGTCAGGGCATAGACTTGGATTACTGTGATATTGAATGGTTTGCCTTGTAAACGAACAGAGATCACTCTGTCATTTTTGAGATTGCATCCAAGTGCTGCATCTGCATTTTGGACTCTTTTGTTGACTAGGATGGCTACTCCATTTCTTCTAAGGGATTCCTGCCCACAGTAGTAGATATAATGGTCACCTGAGTTAAATTCACCCATTCCAGTCCATTTTAGCTTTCTGATTCCTAAAATGTCGATGTTCACTCTTGTTATCTCCTGTTTGACCACTTCCAATTTGCCTTGATTCATGGACCTAAGATGAATTGAGGTCCTATCCAATATTGTTCTTTACAGCATTGGACTTTACTTCCATCACCAATCACATCCACAGCTGGGTGTCGTTTTTGCTTGGCTCTGTCTCTTCATTCTTTTTGGAGTTATTTCTCCACTGTTTTCCAGTAGCATATTGGGCACCTACCAACCTGTGGAGTTCATCTTTCAGTGTCCTGTCTTTTTGCCTTTTCATAAAGCCTATAAACTCCAGTACTTTGGCCACCTCATGCAAAGAGCTGACTCACTGGAAAAGACCCTGATGCTGGGAAGGATTGGGGGCAGGAGGAGAAGGGGACGACAGAGGATGAGATGGTTGGATGGCATCACTGACTCGATGGACATGGGTTTGAGTAGACTTCGGGAGTTGGTGATGGACAGGGAGGACTGGCGTGCTGCAATTCATGGGGTCACAAAGAGTTGGACATGACTAAGTGAAGTAAACTGAACTGATGGGGTCACAAAGAGTCAGACATGACTGAGTAACTAACACACAAAGCTTTAATGACTGGCGCTAAGTGAGTATTCACTTCAGGGTTCACAATCTAAGACAATTTGATAGAGACCACGTGTTTCTACTCTTTTATTCTTACATACCTAAAAATATTTTTCTTTTTGCCATTATGATTACTTGTCTTCTTTGGCAAAATATTGTTCCACAATGACTCCCTGGTTGAGAAATGTGAATAGGCAGATGGATGGGTTGATGGACAGATACATGGATGGATGAAGGGGTAGATGATTGACTTCTATGTTTACCATATTAAGCAACCATGTAGTGAAATTAATGCCCTTGAAAACATGGACTAATTGGTGACTAATCCTTAACACATGTTACCTAAGGACTACCTTACTTTGACTGTGCACATCTTTAATTTCTAGTCATGAATATTTTCACTTGCTTTATTTTCCTTTAGAGGGCTTTCCTGGTGGTTCAGACAGTAAGGAATCTGCCTGCAATGTAGGAGACCCAGATTCCATCCCTGAGTCAGGAATATCCCCTGAAGAAGGAAATGGCCACCCACTCCAGTATTTGTCTGGAGAATTCCATGAACAGAGGAGCCTAGCAGACTGTAGTCCACGGGGTCACAAAGAGGGGGACACAACTGAGCAACTAAACATGCATTTTCCTTTAGCATCAATGCTCTAATGCATACTTGCAGATTTAAAAATGTCCTTTATGCTTCCTTGCAAACTGTGCAAGTTGTTGGTCTGTAGAGTACTGACTCTCCATTTTGGGGCTTGGGAGTGTTGGTTATTAAATCTGAGTTTCCTCTGTTTCAGCACCACACAGAGTGTATACAACAACTATGAGGCCCAGAACACCGGACAAGCCACACATCAGACCTGGTAAGTTGTTTCTCTTTCTGATGATATAAATAATCAACATACTTAGGAAGATATGCTTCCCTGGTATTTCAGATGAGAGAGAGTCTGCCTGAAATGTAGGAGACCTGGATCAATCCCTGGGTCGGAAAGATCCGCTGGAGGGGGAAATGGCAACCTACTCCAGTAATTTTGCCTGGAAAATCCCATGGATGGAGGAACCTCTCAGGCTACAGTCCATGGGGTTGCAAAGAGTCAGACACGACTGAGTGATTAGCACTTAACTGAAAAAAAGAAGATATAAAATGTATTGAGGAATTCCCTGGTGGTCCAGTGGTTAGGACTCCAAGCTTCCGCTGCAAGGGGTGCAGACTTGATACCTGATCAGGGAACTAGGATCCTGCATGCTGTGAAGCATGACCAAAAAAAGAATGTATTGAAACAGCCAAGTGACCAAATGAGGGCTATATATCCTGAAACGGAAATAAATTACATACAAAAGTCTGATCCTTCTGGGTAAGTGGAAAGGTAATCATGAATCCATGGAAGCGACAAGACTTGACTGAAATTTTTTAAGGACAAGCAGATTCAGAGACCACTATGGAAATTTAAAAATATAAAATCATTTTGAAAATAGTATTTTTGCCTAAATCACACACTCTCTCTCCCTCCTTCAGTTTCCCATGGCAATTATAGAGATAACGTTAGCAATAGCTATGATGTATTTTGTTTCGAATGCTATCTTTTAAGGAAAGATGATCTCTTCCAGTATGAAAGGCTCTTGTTCTACAAGAATATTTTTACCTGGGTTGGGAAGGTCCCCTGGAGAAGAGAAAGGCTACCCACTCCAGTATTCTGGCCTAGAGAATTCGATGGTCTGTAGTCTATGGGGTCACAAAGAGTCAGACACAATGAGTGACTTTCACTTCATATAAAAACAAGCAAACACACATTTTACAGGTTGTATACATCAACAGTAAAATGATAGTTAAACTGGAAAAAAAACTTCTTTTTTGGCCACTCTGCAGTCTTGCAGGATCTTAGTTTCCCAACCAGGGATGGAACCCAGGCCCCAGCAATAAAAGTGCTGAGTCACAACCACTGGACCATCAGGGAGTTCCCAGAAAATGCTTTGAAATGACCAAAGTCGTCAAAAGATCTAGGTTCTCCCTCACTGAACCTTGTTAGGGGAAGTTAACTTGGGGGTTAATTTGATCCATGTAAATCACTCCTAGTCTAACATATAAGTTGGACCAGAGACTCTGATGTTTTCTGTCCTTTTTCTCCTCTGTGATTCTAAGAAGTTTTAAAGTTCTAAGTGTCAAAAATGGCTTATAAGCTACCATTCCTGATGAATATCTCTCTGGGCACATGGAAGAAATAAAAAATATATATACATCTTTTGGTTTATGGAGGAACCCACATTTTTTTTTTTTTTGTAATCCTGCAACTCCTAAAGGTAACTCGTGCAGAAATCTTTGTAAAAAAAAAAAAAAATACACCTCCATGTGACTTTTGTATCATGATAACTGTTGAGAACTTAATGTGTGGTTGGTTATATTAAACCTTTCTACACAATAAGGAAACAGTAACAGTAATGCCTAATGGTGAGTGGGTGCTTACCATGTGTCCTGTGAGGCTAGGTTGAGGAAGCTAAGGCTTAAAGAGGGCTAGGAAGTGGAGTCGAAGGCAAGCAGTCTGGCTCTAGAACTCATTCTCTTTTTTTTTTTTTTTTAATTTTTGTTAGTTGGAGGCTAATTACTTTACATCATTGCAGTGGTTTTTGTCATACATTGACATGAATTAACCATGGATTTACATGTATTCCCCATCCCGGTCCCCCCTCCCACCTCCCTCTCCACCCGATCCCTCTGGGTCTTCCCAGTGCACCAGGCCCGAGTACTTGTCTCATGCATCCAACCTGGGCTGGTGATCTGTTTTACCCTAGATAATATACATGTTTCGATGCTGTTCTCTCGAAACATCCCACCCTCGCCTTCTCCCACAGAGTCCAAAAGTCTGTTCTATACATCTGAGTCTCTTTTTCTGTTTTGCATATAGGGTTATCGTTACCATCTTTCTAAATTCAATATATATGTTTTAGTATACTGTAATGTTCTTTATCTTTCTGGCTTACTTCACTCTGTATAATGGGCTCCAGTTTCATCCATCTCATTAGAACTGATTCAAATGAATTCTTTTTAATGGCTGAGTAATATTCCATTGTGTATATGTACCACACCTTCCTCATCCATTCGTCTGCTGATGGGCATCTAGGTTGCTTCCATGTCCTGGCTATTATAAACAGTGCTGCGATGAACATTGGGGTGCACGTGTCTCTTTCAGATCTGGTTTCCTCGGTGTGTATGCCCAGAAGTGGGATTGCTGGGTCATGTGGCAGTTCTATTTCCAGATTTTTAAGAAATCTCCACACTGTTTTCCATAGTGGCTGTACTAATTTGCATTCCCACCAACAGTGTAAGAGGGTTCCCTTTTCTCCACACCCTCTCCAGCATTTATTGCTTGTAGACTTTTGGATAGCAGCCATCCTGACTGGTGTGTAATGGTACCTCATTGTGGTTTTGATTTGCATTTCTCTGATAATGAGTGATGTTGAGCATCTTTTCATGTGTTTTTTTGCCATCTGTATGTCTTCCTTGGAGAAATGTCTGTTTAGTTCTTTGGCCCATTTTTTGATTGGGTCATTTATTTTTCTGGAGTTGAGCTGGAGGAGTTGCTTGTATATTTTTGAGATTAATCCTTTGTCTGTTGCTTCATTTGCTATTATTTTCTCCCAATCTGAGGGCTGTCTTTTCACCTTGCTTATAGTTTCCTTTGTTGTGCAAAAGCTTTTAAGTTTCATTAGGTCCCATTTGTTTATTTTTGCTTTTGTTTCTAAAATTCTGGGATGTGGGTCATAGAGGATTCTGCTGTGATTTATGTCGGAGAGTGTTTTGCCTATGTTCTCCTCTAGGAGTTTTATAGTTTCTGGTCTTACATTTAGATCTTTAATCCGTTTTGAGTTTATTTTTGTGTATGGTGTTAGAAAGTGTTCTAGTTTCATTCTTTTACAGGTGGTTGACCAGGTTTTCCCAGCACCACTTTTGAAAGAGGTTGTCTTTTTTCCATTGTATATCCTTGCCTCCTTTGTCGAAGATAAGGTGACCATAGGTTCGTGGATTTATCTCTGAGCTTTCTATTCTGTTCCATTGATCTATATTTCTGTCTTTGTGCCGGTACCATACTGTCTTGATGACTGTGGCTTTGTAGTATAGTCTGAAGTCAGGCAGCTTGATTCCTCCAGTTCCATTCTTCTTTCTCAAGGTTACTTTGGCTAGTCGAGGTTTTTTGTATTTCCATACAAATTGTGAAATTATTTGTTCTAGTTCTGTGAAAAATACTGTTGGTAGTTTGATAGGGATTGCATTGAATCAATAGATTGCTTTGGGTAGTATAGCCATTTTGACAATATTGATTCTTCCAATCCATGAACACGGTATATTTCTCCATCTGTTTGTGTCCTCTTTGATTTCTTTCATCAGTGTTTTATAGTTTTCTGTGTATAGGTCTTTTGTTTCTTTAGGTAGATATACTCCTAAGTATTTTATTCTTTTTGTTGCAATGGTGAATGGTATCATTTCCTTAATTTCTCTTTCTGTTTTCTCATTGTTAGTGTATAGGAATGCAAGAGATTTCTGTGTGTTAATTTTATATCCTGCAACTTTACTGTATTCGTTGATTAGCTCTAGTAATTTTCTGGTAGAGTCTTTAGGGTTTTCTATGTAGAGGATCATGTCATCTGCAAACAGAGAGAGTTTCACTTCTTCTTTTCCTATCTGGATTCCTTTTACTTCTTTTTCTGCCCTGATTGCTGTGGCCAACACTTCCAAAACTATGTTGAATAGTAGTGGTGAGAGTGGGCACCCTTGTCTTGTTCCTGATTTCAGGGGAAATGCTTTTAATTTTTCACCATTGAGGGTGATGCTTGCTGTGGGTTTGTCATATATAGCTTTTATTATGTTGAGGTATGTTCCTTCTATTCCTGCTTTCTGGAGAGTTTTAATCATAAATGGATGTTGAATTTTATCAAAGGCTTTTTCTGCATCTATTGAGATAATCATATGGTTTTTATCTTTCAATTTGTTAATGTGGTGTATTACATTGATTGATTTGTGAATATTAAAGAATCCTTGCATTCCGGGGATAAAGCCCACTTGGTCATGGTGTATGATTTTTTTTAATATGTTGTTGGAATCTGTTTGCTAGAATTTTGTTAAGGATTTTTGCATCTATGTTCATCAGAGATATTGGCCTGTAGTTTTCTTTTTTTGTGGCATCTTTGTCTGGTTTTGGAATTAGGGTGATGGTGGCCTCATAGAATGAGTTTGGAAGTTTACCTTCTTCTGCAATTTTCTGGAAGAGTTTGAGTAAGATAGGTGTTAGCTCTTCTCTAAATTTTTGGTAGAATTCAGCTGTGAAGCCATCTGGTCCTGGGCTTTTGTTTGCTGGAAGATTTCTGATTACAGTTTCGATTTCCTTGCTTGTGATGGGTTTGTTAAGATCTATTTCTTCCTGGTTCAGTTTTGGAAAGTTATACTTCTCTAAGAACTTGTCCATTTCTTCCAAGTTGTCCATTTTATTGGCATAGAGCTGCTGGTAGTAGTCTCTTATGACCCTTTGTATTTCAGTGTTGTCTGTTGTGATCTCTCCATTTTCGTTTCTAATTTTGTTAATTTGGTTCTTCTCCCTTTGTTTCTTAATGAGTCTTGCTAATGGTTTGTCAATTTTGTTTATTTTTTCAAAAAACCAGCTTTTAGCTTTGTTGATTTTTGCTATGGTCTCTTTAGTTTCTTTTGCATTTATTTCTGCCCTAATTTTAAAGATTTCTTTCCTTCTACTAACCCTGGGGTTCTTCATTTCTTCCTCCTCTAGTTGCTTTAGGTGTAGAGTTAGGTTATTTATTTGACTTTTTTCTTGTTTCTTGAGGTAGGCCTGTAATGCTATGAATCTTCCCCTTAGCACTGCTTTTACAGTGTTCCATAGGTTTTGGGTTGTTGTGTTTTCATTTTCATTCATTTCTATGCATATTTTGATTTCTTTTTTGATTTCTTCTATGATTTTTTGGTTATTCAGAAGCGTGTTGTTTAGCCTCCATATGTTTGAATTTTTAATAATTTTTTTCCTGTAATTGAGATCTAATCTTACTGCACTGTGGTCAGAAAAGATGACTGGAATGATTTCAATTTTTTTGAATTTACCAAGACTAGATTTATGGCCCAGGATGTGATCTATTCTGGAGAAGGTTCCATGTGCACTTGAGAAAAAGGTGAAGTTGACTGTTTTGGGGTGAAATGTCCTATAGATGTCAATTAGGTCTAGCTGGTCCATTGTGTCCTTTAAAGTTTGTGTTTCCTTGTTCATTTTCTGTTTAGTTGATCTATCCATAGTTGTGAGTGGGGTAGTAAAGTCTCCTACTATTATTGTGTTACTATTAATTTCCTCTTTCATACTTGTTAGTGTTTGCCTTACATATTGTGGTGCTCCTATGTTGGGTGCATATATATTTATAATTATTGTATCTTCTTCTTGGATTGATCCTTTGATCATTATGTAGTGTCCATCTTTGTCTCTTTTCACAGTCTTTATTTGAAAGTCTATTTTATCTGATATGAGTATTGCGACTCCTGCTTTCTTTTGGTCTCCGTTTGCGTGGAATATTTTTTTCCAGCCCTTCACTTTTAGTCTGTATGTGTCCCTTGTTTTGAGGTGGGTCTTTTGTAGACAGCATATATAGGGGTCTTGCTTTTGTATCCATTCAGCCAGCCTTTGTCTTTTGGTTGGGGCATTCAACCCATTTACATTTAAGGTAATTATTGATAGGTATGGTCCCGTTGCCATTTATTTTGTTGTTTGGGGTTCACGTTTATACCACCTTTCTGTGTTTCCTGTCTAGGGAAGATCCTTTAGTATTTGTTGAAGAGCTGGTTTGGTGGTGCTGAATTCTCTCAGCTTTTGCTTGTCTGTAAAGCTTTTGAGTTCTCCTTCATATCTGAATGAGATCCTTGCTGGGTAGAGTAATCGAGGTTGTAGGTTATTCTCTTTCATTACTCTAAGTATGTCCTGCCATTCCCTTCTGGCCTGAAGGGTTTCTATTGATAGATCAGCTGTTATCCTTATGGAAATCCCTTTGTGTGTTATTTGTTGTTTCTCCCTTGCTGCTTTTAATATTCGTTCTTTGTGTTTGATCTTTGTTAATTTGATTAATATGTGTCTTGGGGTGTTTCGCCTTGGGTTTATCCTGTTTGGGACTCTCTGGGTTTCTTGGACTTGGGTGGCATTTTCCTTCCCCATTTTAGGGAAGTTTTCAGCTATTATCTCCTCGAGTAACTTCTCATGGGCTTTCTTTTTGTCTTCTTCTTCTGGGACTCCTATGATTCGAATGTTGGGGCATTTCACATTGTCCCAGAGGTCCCTGAGGTTGTCCTCATTTCTTTTGATTCTTTTTTCCTCTCTGCTTCATTTATTTCCACCATTTTATCTTCTCACTCACTTATCCTATCTTCTGTCTCTGTTATTCTACTCATGGTTCCCTCCAGAGTGTTTTTTATCTCATTTATTTCATTATTAATTTTTAATTGACTTTTTAAAATTTCTTCTAGGTCCTTGTTAAACATTTCTTGCATCTTCTCAATCTTTGTCTCCAGGCTATTTATTTGTAACTCCATTTTGTTTTCAAGATTTTGGATCATTTTTATTATCATTATTCTAAATTCTTTTTCAGGTAGATTCCCTATTTCCTCCTCTTTTGTTTGACTTGGTGGGCTTTTTTCATGTTCCTTTACCTGTTGGGTATTTCTCTGCCTTTTCATCTTGTTTAGATTGCTGTGTCTAGAGTGAGCTTTCTGTATTCTTGTGGTCTGTGGTTCCTTTTATTGTGGAGGTTTCACCCAGTGGGTGGGGTTGGACGATTGGTTTGTCAAGGTTTCCTGGTTAGGGAAGCTTGTGTAAGCATTCTGGTGCGTGGAATTGGATTTCTTCTCTCTGGAGTGCAATGGAGTGTCCAGTAATGAGTTTTACGATGGGTCTATGTGTTAGGTGTGACTTTGGACAGCCTGTATGTTGACACTCAGGTCTATGTTCCTGCGTTGCTAAAGAATTTGCGTGGTATGTCTTGTACTGGAGCTTATTGGCTCTTGGGTGGTGGTTGGTTTTGGTGTAGGTATGGAGGCTTTTGGATGGTCTCTTATTCCTTAATGTTCCGTGTAGTCAGGAGTTTCCTGGTTTTCTCAGGTTTTGGGCTTGTCTCCTGCCTCTGGATTTCAGTTTTATTCTTCCAGTAGCCTTAAGACTTCTCCAACTATACAGCACTGATAATAAAACTTCTAGGTTAATGGTGAAAAGATTCTCCACCGTGAGAGAGAACCAGAGAGGTTCACAGAGTTACATGAAGAATAGGAGAGGGAGGAAGGAGATAGAGGTGAGCAGGAGGAGAAAAAGGGGACTCAAGAGGAGAGAGACAGATCTACGCAGTTATCTGTTCCCAAAGGGTTCTCTGTAGCCCAGACACCCACAAAGATTCACAGAGTTGGATTGGGAAGAGAAGGGGAAAGGAGGAAATAGAGGTGTTCTGTGGTAGAAAACAGAGAGTCAAAAGTGGGAGAGTAATCACCACACTCCTTAATAGAAATGGGAACTGAATATTGGATTCTTAAATGACCAAAATTTATATCACATACTACTGAAAAACAAAGATTAAAAATCTAGTGTAGAGATTAGACTCTTTGAAATACAATATTTAAAAACAAAAACACAAAAAATTTAGAAATGTATATGAAGTTCAATTTAAAAATAGGGTTTCTCTCTCTTTTTTTTTTGGCAAGGTTATAGTGAAATGAAAATGAAAATTAAGGAATAATAGAGGAGTATTAGAGGACTTTAAAAGGAAATAGGAGAGAAAAACAAGAAAAAGAAAAAAAAATTAAAGAAAAATTTTTTTTTCCTAATTAAAAAAATCGTAAAAATATATGAAAATGAAAGTTGAGGAGTAATGGGGGAGTAATAGGGAATTTTAAAAGAAAATAAAAGAGAAAAAATAAAAAATAATAAAAAACAAAGAAAAAAAATTTTTTAATTAAAAAAATATATACATATATATCTAGGAATTTCTCTGGAGTTGTTGCGGTCAGTGTAGGTTCAGTTCAATTTCAGATAGCTCCTCTTTCCAGCTTACACTTCTCGATATCTGTAGGCCCCTTCCAGTGTTGTCGGTGTTACCTTCAGGGATTTTAATCTGTTGCACCAGTCCTTTCTGAAGCGGTTCCCTTTGTTTATTTGGCTTCTGTTTGCCGTCTCTTCGGTGTCTAATTTCCGCCCTGACACAGGCGGGTGGAGGTGATCTCTTATTTAGGTTCTCTAGTTCAGTTCAGTCCTGCTACGGGGAGGGCGGGGCGCTGCAGACAGATACCGCTCCGTGTGGACAGCACTCACCGTGTTCCGGCCACACTGGGTTTGCCCCGCTCACGGGTGTCAGTGCCTTCCCTGTCTACACTGCTCAGGCTCCCGGCTGCTCTATATGGAGCGGGCCCTGCGTTGAGTGCGGTTCCAGTTTTCGGGTACTCCACAAAAGCGCGGATTCGGTTGCGCCTGCGTTTTGTGCCTTCCCCAGCCTGAGCGTTTCAGGCAGCCAGGGGCTTGGGCGCACTCTCCCCGGGTGCAGCGCGCCTTTTCCCTCCGCGGCGAGCGGCCCAGGCAGCCAGAGGCTTGGGCGCACTCTCCCCGGGTGCGGCGCGCCTTTTCCCTCCGCGGCGGGCAGCTCAGGCAGCCACTTAGACCAGATCACCTCAGAGTATACAGTCAGGTCTCAGATTCAACTGTATGATTTTCATACCAAAACTGGGACTTCTCTATTGTGAACATTAGTTTTTGGTAAGTCATCATGTTTGTTGCCAGTTACATGAGTTCCAGTTCTCTGGGAAGCTTTATTTTCCTTGACTGCAAATGTTCAACTAAAAAAAAATGTCTAAACTGTTTATTTCTCACTTTATTATAGTTCTAAATAAGACAACTACAAGACCGAGCAGACCCAGACCCAGTGGGACACCCAGAGGGAATGGAATAGGAGCAGGTAGTGATCACAAGCTTATTTCCTTTGATCCTATCAAATTCTAAATGTTTTAATTCAATTTTTAAAATTTTGTTAAATTCACATTTCAATTTCCTTTTTACTAGTTTTGAGTTAGTATAACTAGTTTTAGAAGTTCATAGAACTGAAAATTGTAAATCATTCCAAAATCAAAATTTCAAATGTCCCTGTAAACATAAAAAAAATAGTTTCCTACTTTTCTCAACCCAGTCCACTAAATCAATTACAATATATAGTCTTAATTAAGTATGATTAAGTATGAATTAAAATATCAAAATAGCTTTTTCCCTAATTTCAAAATTAGGGAAGACTTCACATTTCCATATATAGGTTTGGTCTTTGAGACAATGATCAATTGGTTTTCAAGTTTATAATTTCATAAGTGCCATTATAATATTTTTAAAAAATCCACATCCACAAACTGGAATATGATATTTAAATGAGAAGAGCAATTAGCAAATGATCATATTAATGATCAAGCATATTAATGTTTCCAATTCATTCAGTTTGATTAAATGATATTGCCCTGCTCCAGTCTCCTCTATGGGACATCATATAGATAACTAGGACAAATAACTGATAAAAGTTCACTCAACTCACTTAGTAGGTAAATGGTAGTTATTAAATGCCTTAATATGGGATTGCATTGTTCCCTTGAAATATTTTTTAAATAGTGCAGATCTTGTGCCTGCTTATGTAAAAATGCATAAACATTATAGTTTGTTTAATGCATATATATGTATATATAATCAACCCATAATTAATTGTTCCTTAATGAGAAAGATGTGAATACTATCTGAAGACATGTATTCAGTCTAAAAATGATTTAGATTTTTTTTTTAGTATGTGTTTTTGTACTAGGTTATTACAATGTCTGAAGTTCTAGGAATTCACTTTCCTTCAATTAATGAGACAGATACTGTAAATTCCTGATTCATGAAAAGCAAGAAAGCATTCCAGTATTTATTTGTGCTCAGCTGTTCCTTTTATTCTTCCCAAGTGGGACTAAGCAGTACATAGTGTCTCATATTGACGTAAACAGTCTGGCTGTGAAGACAGCCACCTTCTGAATGTTCAAAATAATTCCCCAGAGTTTGTCTGAGTAAAAATAGAAGAAAGCATTTATGTCAGCAGAACAAATGAAAGAACAAGCAGCTATGATGAACTTGAAAGCCATTAACCTTCAGTATGAGCAAGCAGTGATTCTCACTAGGAAAACGTTAATTGTCTTTTGGGGAGAAAACAGAGCATGATTATGCTTTAGTTTATCAGTAGTATAAAAATTTTTCCAGAGCTACTTGTGATACAGATTGACATCTGTTACCCTATTGTGTAGATAAAGTCAGCTTTGTAGTAACTCACCTAACTTAGCTTTGGAAGGATGACCTTTTACCAGCATGCCTTCAGTTTAATCCATTGGTTGCTGATAGAAAAAGGTTGGTGGGCACAGATAAACAAAGCTAAGCTTGCTGTTTCCTCTTTCCTTGCTCCACTAACATCCCCAATCCAAATGTGCTGCACATGTTCCATGTTCTAATGTTTCTCTATTGGGATCCCCCTCAGGGAAGAACAGGCTGGCCCCCTGCTAAGAGTAAAGTCAGCAGACAGCATCCCATTGTCAGCGCCTTCAGGGTCAGCCTCAGCTGAGGAGAGCCTTGATTGGAGATATGGGTGGAACATCTCTTTGTCATATAGCAACCAAATGATATTTACCTCAGGAAAGGATGTTTGTCTTAACATTCACACAAATTGGTGCAATTTCCACTTCAGTGTTCTTGCCTTGAGAAACCCATGAACAGTAAGAAAAGGCAAAAAGACAGGACACTGAAAGATGAACTCTGCAGGTCAGTAGGTGCTCAATATGCTACTGGAGAGCAGCGGAGAAATAACTCCAGAAAGAATGAAGAGATGGAGCCAAAGCAAAAACAACACCCAGTTGTGGATGTGATTGGTGATGGAAGTAAAGTCCAATGCTATAAAGAACAATATTGCATAGGACCTAAATTCATCTTAGGTCCATGAATCAAGGCAAATTGGAAGTGGTCAAACAGGAGATGACAAGAGTGAACATCAACATTTTAGGAATCAGCAAACTAAAATGGACTGGAATGGGTGAATTTGACTCAGATTATCATTATATCTAGTACTGTGGGCAAGAATCCCTTAGAAGAAATGGAGTAGCCATCCTCGTCATCAGAAGAGTCCAAAATGCAGTACTTGGATGCAATCTCAAAAACGACAGAATGATCTCTCTTCATTTCCAAGGCAAACCATTCAGTATCACAGTAATCCAAGCCTATGCCCCGACCAGGAATGCTGAAGAAGCTGAAGTTGGATGGTTCTATGAAGACCTACAAGACCTTCTAGAACTAACACTAAAAAAAGATATCCTTTTCATTATAGGGGACTGGAATGCAAAAGTAGGCAGTCAAGAAACACCTGGAGTAACAGGCACATTTGGCCTTGGAGTACAGAGTGAAGCAGGGCAAAAAGAATTTTGCCAAGAGAATGCACTGGTCATGGTAAACACCCTCTTCCAACAACCCAAGAGAAGACTCTGCACATGGATATCAGCAGATGGTCAACACCAAAATCAGATTGATTATATTATTTGCAGCCAGAAAAGGAGAAGCTCTATACAGTCAGCAAAAACAAGACCAGAAGCTGACTGTGACTTGGATCATGAACTCCTTACTGTGAAATTCAGAGCTAAATTGAAGAAAGTAGGGAAAACTGCTAGACCATTCAGGTATGACCTAAATCCAATCCCTTACAATTGTACAATGGAAGTGAGAAATAGATTCAAGGGACTAGCTCTGATAGACAGAGTGTCTGAAGAACTATGGATGGAGGTTCGTGACATTGTATAGGACGCAGTAATCAAGACATCCCCAAGAAAAAAATATGAAAAAAGGCAAAATGGTTGTCTGAGGAGGTCTTACAAATAGCTGTGAAAAGAAGAGAAGCAGAAGGCTAAGGAGAAAAGGAAAGATATGCCCATTTGAATGCTGAGTTCCAAAGAGTAGCAAGAAGAGATAAGAAAGCCTTCCTCAGTACTTTGTACTGATCAGTACAAAGAAATAGAGGAAAACAGTAGAATGGGAAAGACTAGAGATCTCTTCAAGAAAATTAGACATACCAAGGGAAAATTTCATGCAGAGATGGGCACAATAAAGGACAGAAGTGTTATGTACCTAACAGAAGCAGAAGATATTAAGAAGAGGTGGCAAGAATACACAGAAGAACTATACAAAAAAGATCTTCACGACCCCGATAACCACGAATGTGTGCTCACTCACCTAGAGCCAGACATCCTGGAATGCAAAGTCAAGTGGGCCTTAGGAAGCATCACTACAAACAAAGCTAGTGGAGGTGATGCAATTCCAGTTGAGCTATTTCAAATCCTAAAAGAGGTGTGAAAGTGCTGCACTCAATATGCCAGCAGTGGCCATAGGACTGGTCAGCTTTTATTCCAATCCCAAAGAAACACAATGCCAAAGAATGCTCGAACTATCACACAATTGCACTCATCTCACACACTAACAGTGTGATGCTCAAAATTCTCCAAGCCAGGCTTGAACAGTACATGAACTGTGAACTTCCAGATGTACAAGCTGGATTTAGAAAAGGCAGAGGAACCAGAGATCAAATTGCCAACATCCATTGGATCATCGAAAAAGCAAGAGAGTTCCAGAAAAACATCTGCTTTATTGACTATGCAAAAGCCTTTGACTGTGTGGATCACAGCATACCATGGAAAATTCTTGAAGAGATGGGAATACCAGACTGCCTGACCTGCCTCCTGAGAAATCTGTATGCAGGTCAGGAAGCAACAGTTAAAACTAGACATGGAACAACAGACTGGTTCCAAATCAGGAAAGGAGTATGTCAAGGCTGTATATTGTCACCCTGCTTATTTAACTTATATGCAGAGTAAATCATGAGAAAAGCTGGGATGAATGAAGCACAAGCTGGAACCAAGATTTCTGGGATAAATATCAACAACCTCATATTCTGATGACACCACCCTTATGGCAGAAAGTGAAGAAGAATTAAAGAGCCTCTTGATGAAAGTGAAAGAGGAGAGTGAAAAAGTTGGCTTAAAACTTAACATTCAGAAAACTAAGATCATGGCATCTGGTCCCATCACTTCATGGCAAATAGATGGGGAAACAATGGAAAGAGTGACAGACTTTTATTTTTCTGGGCTCCAAAATCACTGCGGATGGTGATTGCAGCCATGAAATTAAAAGACGCTTGCTCCTTAGAAGGAAAGTTATGACCAACCTAGACAGCATATGAAAAAGCCGAAACATTACTTTGCTGACAAAGGTCCGTCTAGTCAAGGCTATGGTTTTTCCAGTAGTCATGTATGGATGTGAGGGTTGGACTATAAAGAAAGCTGAGTGTGGGAGAATTGATGCTTTTGAAGTGTGGTGTTGGAGAAGACTCTTGAGAGTCCATTGGACAGCAAAGAGATCCAACCAGTCCATCCTAAAGAGATCAGTCCTGAATATTCATTGGATGGACTGATGCTGAAGCTGAAACTCCAATACTTTGGCCACCTGATGAAGAACTGACTCATTGGCAAAGACCCTGATGCTGGGAAAGGTCGAAGGTGGGAAGAGAAGGGGATGACAGAGGATGAGATGGTTGGATGGCATCACCAACTCAAAGAACATGAGTTTGAATAAACTCCAGGAGTTGATAATGGACAGGGAGGCCTGGTGTGTGTGCTGCAGTCCATGGGGTTGAAAAGAGTCAGACACGACTGAGCAACAGAACTTAACCACATTAACAGAACAAAGGGGAAAAAAGAATCACATGATCATAAATAAAAAATCAACCATGAGACAAAATTCAAAAACCATTCATGATGAAAACTCTCATAAAACTAGAAATTGAAGGAATTTTCCTCCCTCTGATAAAGGACATCTGAGAAAAACCTACAGCTAACATCTCATATCCAGTCTGAATATTTT